CACCGTGCCCAGCCTCATCTTTTATTTCTTTAAATATCTCATACTTTATTCATTTATATTGTGTATTGATTATCATGATATCTTAGATCCCTGAGGTCTAAATCTTGTTTCTGTTGATAGTCACCCTTGGTAGTTTCTTTCTTTGTGTATTTGGTACAGGATCTACTTGTTTTGAAGAAGGAATGTCCTTTAGCATTTCTTGTTTGCCATGTTGCATGAAGAAATAGAATTAGGAGCTTCTCAACTCATGTGTCATGAGTGGGTCATTGGTATGCTGAGATACTTACCCTTTCAGCTAGCTAGTCATCACTATTTATGACCTGCTTTGTCTATTATCTTAATGTGCTAGGCACAAGGAAATAATCAAGTGGGATATTTGGATCAGAGGGCTGGAAATTATTCGAAATCATTAAGGAATAATCTTGCTTCTTAAAGGAAGTAAGGTAGATTAAGGCATCTGATGATTAATTGACACTGCAAATTATTTTCTTTTTTTTGACACTGCAAATTATTTTCAATTAAAATATAATCCCAGGTTGTTACCTGTAGCATCCTGAATCAAGTAATCATATTAAATTTCATGTTATTATTACTATTATTATGAACCCAAATAACTGTATACAAAAAAACAGAGCCCGATAAATATTCAATTCTAAACTACTTATAAAATCCAATACTTTATTCTGGTCTTTAGTCATCAACTAACAGAAGACAATAGAAGCTGTGTGTTGTAGTGAAAAGTATCAGATTTGGTGTCATAAGATGTGAGCTCTAATCCTGACTAAATTGCTCTCTATCCATATGACTTCAGGTAAAACTTCTTTTCAGTATGTTTTCCAATTGTGGGGAACAAATGAACAGCAATGCAACTGACTTTTGTGGATGGTTTATTGGGTGGGACAAGCACTAAGCATAGAGTTTGGCAGGTTCTGTTCCCCATTTTGCACTTGAGTATGTGGAGTATGTGCTTAAGACAAAAACACTTTTTGAGATAAACCGCAATCTAAATACTTTGTTTCAGCTTGTTTTCAAAGTAACCTTTTACATTTATTTTTTAGGAAGGATGTTGTACTTCATTATTCAACTTTATTTGAACATGGAAAAATATTTTTGAAAACATGGGATATGGAAAAATATTAAAAACTTAATTTTTAATATATTTTTTATGATGTTAAGAAAACCCAGATTTCTAGAATCTAATTTATAGTCATAATATAAAATATTGACCATCTGTAAATATGTCAACTTTCCCCAAATTAATCTCTAGAATCAATGTAACTGCTATTAAAATCATTAAAAGGAGGTACAATGACAATCTGGGTTTAAACGTTAAAAATCTAAGGCACAACTAGGAATAGAAAGAAACTCTCTCAACATAATAAAGGCTATTTATGAAAACCCTACAACTAACATCATGCTAAATGGTAAAAGATTAAAACCTTTTTCTTTAAGATCAGAAACAAGACAAGGATGCCCACTTTTGCCACTTCTATTCTACATGGTACTAGAAGTCCTGGCCAGAGCAATTAGGCAAGAAAAAGAAATCAAAGGTATTCAAACTGGAAAGGAAGAAGTACAAAGATGACATGACTTTGTATATAGAAAATCCTAAAGATTCCACAAAAACCTGTTAGAATGAATAAACAAATTCAGCAAAGCTGCAAGATGTAAAATCAACACAGAAAAATCAATTGCATTTCTATACACAAACAATGACTAATCCTAAAAGGCAATTAAGAAAATGATTAAGGCCAGGTACAGTGACTCACTTCTGTAATCCCAGCACTTCGGAAGGCCAAGGCAGGCGGAGCACTTGAGGCCAGGAGTTTGAGATCAGCCTGGTCAACAAAGTGAAACACTGTCTCTACTGAAAATACAAAAAGTTAGCCAGGTGTGGTGGTGCATGCCTGTAATACCAGCTACTTGGGAGGCTGAGGCATGAGAATAGCTTGAACCTGGGAAGTGGATGTTGCAATGAACAGAGATCATGCCACTGCACTCCAGCCTGGGCAACAGAGTGAGACTCTGTCTCAAAAAATAATAATAATAAAAATAAATTTAAAATATCAAAGAATAAAATACTTACGAATAAACTTAACCAAAGAGCAAAAGTCTTATACACTGAAAACCACAAAACGTTGATGAAAAAAATTAAAGACACAAACAAATGGAAAGACACCTGTGTTTGTGGACTGAAAAGACTTGGGGGGTTGTGTGTGTGTGTGTGTGTGTGTGTGTGTGTGTTTACAGTTGGGGTCTTGTTTTGTTGCCCACCCTGGAGTGCAGTGGCATGATCCTAGCTCACTGTAGCCTCGAACTCCTGGGCTCAAGCAATCCTCTCAAGAAGCTAGGACTACAGATGTGCACTGCTGGGCCCAGCTAAATTTTTAAAAAGTTAATTTTGTTACGTAGTTGATGTTGGTGCTCCACCCAGAGCCCCTTAGATCCTTTCTTCACTTATTTTGGTTATTTTCCCTAGAGTCTGCTTTGCTCAAACACAGAGACCCTTAGAAGTACTTGGAACTTTATGGTCCCTCGGATGGCCCCAATCCCATGACCGATACATGTGAGAGTATGAAGACTCTAGCTCCCTCATCTGAGATAGAGACAATTCTGAGGCATAAATTTCATTCTAGAGCTCCCTTGTATGATCCAGCTAAAGCTATGCTTTGCTGGACTTTTGAGAGTTCAGCCTTGGTTGACTTCTTCATATTCCCTGTCCTGCTTCTCCCACTCCCTTGCTAGTTTCCTCTGGGAGCACTTCTTTAATAATCACTTGGACACAAATTATGGTCTCAAGATCTGCAACTGGGAACCTGACTTAACAACACCTAAGGATAAATAGAGAATTACTATGAATTTACCTTTTATAATTGATGTTGAGATTGGCAGTCATGACGACTCCCCCAGCCATCAGTGCACACATACCAACAGTACTATCAATCATGGTTGCAATGGCACCTCCATGAACGAATCTGGTTACAAGAGTGGAGGAGAAATGTTTTCAGAAGTTCTGAAGATAGAGAGCCTCTTGAAAGAGAGAAATTATCCAAGCATCTTCACACAATTTACTTATGAAAGGTCCACTTAGCCCATGTTCAGCGTACTGAATGCCAAACACTATTTATGTCCCCAACTTTATTTTGTTCACAGCATAATAGTATAGTCTTAAGTATTTGTAATAAAACCAGAACTTAATAGTAACCAGATCACAAGCAGGCAAAAAGCTAAAATATAATTTAGAACATTTATATTATATTTTTATTATTAGTCAAGTGTGGTGTCATGTGCCTGTAGTCCCAGCTACTCAGGAGGCTGAGGTGGGACGATCGCGTGAGCCCAGGAGTTCGAGGCTGCAGTAAGCTATGATCATGCCACTGCACTTCAGCCTGGGCAACAGAGCAAGACCTTGTCTCACAAAACAAAACAAAGTATACATACTCATTGTTTAGAAATTTAGGTAATGCAAATATGAAAAAAAAGAAAAAAAATTTAAGACCCATAATACTACCCACCTAGTCAGTGACAAGCCACTGTTAACACATTAATGATATGCTCTCAAACTATACTGTTGCCCTGTGCCCTATAATATAATGCTCTTTAATATATTAAATATTTAATCAATATTAATAATATAGATAAGATGTTCTTTAATAATGTATTATAAACATCTTTCCATGTCAATAAATATACATCTACATGACCATTTGAAAATCTTCATTGTAGTCCATGGACAGGACACATGGTGGCACTGTAAGATAACATTTTTTTAGATCCACACTTTCAGGCTATCATTCTTACCCAGGTGGTCCTTCCAGGTAAGGGCCTCCTTGAAATAAGCAAACCATCCTTTTCTCGACGTCACTGTAGAACATCACGTATTCAAAGCCCAGGCCATCATCAAAGCTTCTGGTGAAGAGCTGGGTCTGTGACATTTGTTCTTCTTTCACAAGCTTTGGGTCTATAGAAAATGAGGTGGATGGCAAATGAGAACCAAGGGTGAGAGAAATGCCATGGCAGAGCCAAGCACCTGTACCCTGCTAGAATCACATGTCAATGGATGATTGACTCAAATGTCCACAGGGTGCAAAATTAAAAGGAATGGGAGGGTCTCAATGAAACAGAAGATAGGATCTTTGCCCTTGTGGAATTAACAGTCCAACTGGGGACAGAGTCAAACAGACATGAAATCAAATCAAAGTACCCACACATGGCAATCAGGAATACAGTATATAAATGCAAACAATATACTGAATAAAATGGTACGGTAAAGACAGAAACCCTTCTTGGAAGAACTGTGGTTTAAATGCAATTTACAGAAAATAAAAAACGTTAATAGAAAGGAGGTTTCCCTGGCAGACATGAGTTTAGCTTGAATCAGCAACAGGGTCAGTTCAGCCCAATACTCATGTGATTGTGATTCTAAGCCCCCAAAACTGGCAGTTAGAACCATTAGGGTTCATGAAATCAGACTGTGGGTTGTAATCAGGTTTTTTTCTTTTTTGGACGGAGTTTGGCTCTTATTGCCCAGGCTGTAGTGCAAAGGTGTGATCTCAGCTCACTGCAAACTCCGCCTCCCGGGTTCAAGCGATTCTCCTGCCTTAGCCTCGTGAGTAGCTAGGATTACAGGCGCCCACCACCACACCCGGCTAATTTTGTATTTTTAGTAGAGATGGGGTTTCTCCATGTTGGTCTGGCTGGTCTTGAACTCCTGAACTCAGGGATCTGCCTGCCTCGGCCTCCCAAAGTGCTGGGATTATAGGCGTGAGCCACGGTGCCCGGCCATTTACCAGGCTTTAAAAAGAAACAGAACACTTAGATAACAGAACCATATACTCTGGGTAAATAACAGTGTACTTGTTTAGACAATTTTTTTTTCACTTACAAAATTGTGAGCAAGTTGGGGGAACTGGACTGAGTCAAAATATAGGTCACTTCAAAATAAAGATTGAAAGCCATTGCTCTCAAGAAATGGTGCGGCCAGGCGCGGTGGCTCAAGCCTGTAATCCCAGCACTTTGGGAGGCCGAGGTGGGGGGATCATGAGGTCAGGAGATTGAGACCATCCTGGCTAACACGGTGAAACCCCGTCTCTACTAAAAATACAAAAAATTAGCCGGGCGTGGTGGCGGGCGCCTGTAGTTCCAGCTACTTGGGAGGCTGAGGCAGGAGAGTGGCGTGAACCCGGGAGGCGGAGCTTGCAGTGAGTGGAGATCGCGCCACTGCACTCCAGCCTGGGCGATAGAGCGAGACTCCGCCTCAAAAAAAAAAAATCTCTTCCAACTCTGACATTCCAGGACTTCAGGATAAGATAGGTGTTAAGCGCTTCTAATTTTTTTACTTAGGAGTTTGAAATTTCTAGTCTAGATTATCAGACCTTGAGCTTATTTCATAAAAATGAGAAAAATAATGTCTGGGTTGAGTTAAAATGTAGGTCATTTCAAAATAAAGACCAAAAACCACTGCTCTCAAGAGGATGCATTTGTCCTTTGTGATGGTGAAAGAAGTTCGTTGGAAATGTAGAATCTCAGGTTCTACCTCTGACCTTTTGAAGCAGAACGTGCATTTTAACAAGATTCCTAGGTGCTTCATGTTCATTTTTAAGCCTGAAAGGCAATAGTATTTTAAGAAATGGGATAACACTGAAAATGAGATTTGCATTTTGAATCATTCTAACAGTTGAGTGGAGGAAGGGCTTTGAGGAGGATAAGAATGGAGACAGGAAACTACAAAAATCACAATCACCAAACTTATCTGCTAGATGGTGTGATTTTCTCTAGCAATGCTTAACTACATGAAAGCCTGTTCAAAGTAAAGATGGCAGATGGTTGGATTCATCCAGGGCTGGGGTTTTTCTAGGTTAAGTGGACTACAGAAGTTCAGATAGATGAGGGCTATGGGACCATGAGAAAGTAAAGGATTCAATGAACTCAGAAGGTCTTAATGAAATAATAATTGTTTCTGAGGGGCCTTTGAATAAGTAAGCTGCTGAAAGGAAAAATGCTGTCATCAGAAAACAGGATGTTTAAATGTATGCATTTGGAGGCTGTGTACTGTCTGAAGATAAGGCTCAAGATGTTCATGGGAGTGTGTGCCTGGGGCTGGGGGATAAGAAAAGTTCATGGGTGATGAGGAAGCACATAAACTGAGGAGCCACTGTGTGGATGCTCGAGTTGCTGAGAATGCTGAATGGAGTTGGGTAGATAGTGGACCAACTGCTGAAATACTCAAACACTGAGGGAGAGGTTGGCAGATGACAGCAACAAGGAGGGGAAGAGGTGACAAATTTAGATGGTATAAACTCAAAGAAACGAGGGATTTTTTTTTTTTTTTGACAGAATCTTGCTCTGTCACCCAGGCTGGTCTCAAACTCCTGGCCTCAAGTGATCTGCCACTTTGGCCTCCCAAAGTGTTGAGCCACTGTGCCCAGCCCAGAGGGCTTTCTAAGATGAGGGGAAGTAATGGCTTGAAAACAAGTGTGGGTAGCAAAGAGGACCTCAAACTCCTCTTGATTCTGAGAGGGTCAAATTTTAGTCAAGAGCGAATGAGGGTTGGATGAAGAAATGAGCAAAACCATGTAGGAATGGAACCCTGGAAAACATTGACATTTAAGGAGCAAGTAGAAGGAGGAGGGAAGATTGGTCTGAAAGGTTTATGAAAGCCAACAGAAAATGTTTCAATGAGAATAAGACAGGGAGGTCTAGTACAGTAAGTGCTGAAGAATGCACACTGAATTTGGCACTTCAGTCACTGGTAGCTTCAACGAAGGCATTTCAGTAGAGCTGTTAGGGTAGAAGTCAGATTGTGCTGGGGTAAGGACAGTCAGTTGTGTGATATGCTAACAGCTGGAAGAGAATTAGTAATACAAACTACACATTTTTCCTCTTCATTTATAAAACAGAATAATTATTCCCTTGAGATATATCAGAGATTCTGCAAAGAATCTTAAGAACTCTATAATTTTTCTTGATTAGTTTTGTTTTTGTTTTATTAATTCCTTCAGCAAATACTAAAGTATCTACCATGAGGAAACTGAGGCAAAGAAAGGTAAAGTGCCTTGCTCAAAGTTGCACAGCTTTAAATTGTGGAACCAGAATTTAAACCCAGGCACTAAATTTCAATCATTTAATTAAGAAGTTGTCAACTTTTGGATGGTCTCTAAAGCTGAGAGACTGCATGAGATTACCAATGGAGTGTGGAGAAGACAGGAGTACTAAGGACTGAGACTTGAGGGCACCCTAACATGAAGGGTTTGAGAATGGGGAGGAAAGAGCACAAAAAATTGAAAAGGAGGGACCAGTGAAGTGGAGAATGTGGTGTCCTGGAAATTACGTTCAAGTAGAAAGGAGTCACCAGCTGTGTCAAAAGCTGAGAGGTTAGTGGACTCAGCAACATGAAGGTCACTGGTACCCTTGGCAAGAGCTGTTTTGAGGGAGTGGGTTCAAGATAGGCTGGGCACAGTGGCTGATGCCTGTAGTCCCAGCACTTTGGGAGGCCAAGGTGGGGCAGATCACTTGAGGTCAGGAGTTCGAGACCAGCCAGGCCAACATTGTGAAACCCTGTCTGTACTAAAAATACAAAAATAAGCCGGGTGTGGTGGTATGCACCTGTAATCCCAGCTACTTGAGACGCTGAAGTGGGAGAATCACTTGAACCCAGGAGGCAGAGGTTGCAGTGAGCCGAGATCATGCCACTGCACTCCAGCCTGAGTGACAGAGGGAGACTCATTCTCGAAACCAACAAAACAAAACAAACAAAAACAAAACAAAACAGAGAGAGAGACTGGGAAGAGAGAAATGCAGTTGTGGCATATTTATATGCTGACAAGAAACATCTAGCAGAGATGGATGTCCTTCAGTAGGCCAAAGAAAATGGAATGCAGCACACAAATGGAAGGCTGGGTCTCCGTGAGAGTGTGGATGGTTCACTCATAGCAGGAGGAAGCAGAACATCAGGCACAGATGCAGGGAGGAGGATATGTGAGGCAATGGGAGACTGGAAGTTCTCTTCTGACTGCTTTTATTGCCTCTTAGTGAGATAGGAAGCAAGACCAACTGAGGGTGAGAAGGGAAAAGAAAGTATTAGAGGCATAAGAAGAAAGAAAAAGGCA